CGGGGATGCAAGGGGCTGGCATGGGCCGCCCAGTGCGCCCCATCTTGAGCGGAAGCATTGAGATTAAGTAGTTTGGATGGACCAGCAAAAGAAGTCGTCATCATCATCACCATCATCATCATACTGTCATCAGTATCAGTATCATTGTCATCATCATCACCATCACCATCATCACCATCATCATCATCATCACCATCACCTTCACCATCACCATCACAATCACCATTACCATCACCATCACCATCACAATCACAATCACAATCACACTCACCATCATCATCATCACCATCGTCATCAGCATCATCATCGTTATCATCATTATCACCATCATCATCATCACCATCACCATCACCATCACCATCATAATCACAATCACACTCACACTCACCATCACCATCATCATCATCACCATCATTATCACCATCATCATCATCATCATCATCATCATCATCATCATCATCATCATCATCATCATCATCATCATTATCGCCATCATCATCATCGTCATCATCATCATCATCACCACCATCATCATCATCATCATCATCATCATCATCGTCGTCTTCGTCATCGTCGTCGGCGTCATCGTAGTTGTTCGAGCTGGGGGTGGGGGCGCTGTTTCTGGTAGTACCTCTGAGAAAAACTTCGGACGATCAAATATCGAGGAACAAAAGGAGGATGAGGAGGAGGAGGAGCAGGAGGAGGAGGAGGAGGAGGAAGAGGAAGGGGAGGGAGGTGAAGCAGGAGAAGAGCGCCTGCCGCCGCCGGGGGCCCAGGGGCAAGTTAAATTACAGGCCTTTCGTCGATTGTCGATCTTGGGGGGCTTTTCGTTTATACCAGCCTCTGGAAACCCTCTTCGGGCTCCCAGACCGTTGAATATGACATCGCCTTCGGCCCATCCCGCCACAGTGCTTGGGTAGTGGGTCAGAGGGCCCTTGAGTGTTCGTTGGGATCTCGTGGCAAGCTTCTCGAGGGCCTATTGGAGGCAGCTTTGAAGCCTGATGAGGGCCTTGTCGGGCCTGTTTTGGGCCTCTTTTGGGTCTCCTGGAACCCTTTTGTGGCGCTCTTGGGGTCTGATGGGACCCTCTCGAGGCAGAAGGCTAGAATTTCCCGTTCGTGGTCCCCCTCTGGGGCTCCTTTTGGAACCGTCTTGGGAGCCTCTTGGGCCGTCTTTGGGGCCTCTTGGGCGCCTCTTGGGCCGTCTTGGGACCCTCTTGGGCCGTCTTGGGGCGATCTTGGGGTCTCTTGGGCTGTCTTGGAGCGACGGTACGCCGAAAAGGCGAGAGAAAGCCAACAACCTTCAAACACCTAGGGAAAATCCAAGAGCTTGGCCTCTTGGGGCGCTCTTGGGAGGCCTCTTGGAGGCCTCCCGGGGCGTCTTGGGGGCTTCTTCGGCCGTCTGGAGGCCATCCTGGGCTTCTTCCAACGATCTTTCGGCCACTCGGGGCCCTGTTGGACCGTTTTGGGAGCCTCTTGGGGCCCTCTTGGCGCGTTTTGGGGCCCTTTATCCTACCATGGCGCGTTCGTGCCGGGGTCGACGGTCGTCCGCGGCCGGAGGGGGGGGTGAAATTACCGGTTTGAGGTCCCCGGGGGGGGATTTAGGGGGGGAGAGTCTCGCTTTCCTGGAGACCCACACGTGGTCGGCGGATTTTTTCAGTACGCGGTCCCAGGAAGTCCCGACCCTTGCCCCAGGGCCTGATTCTTCAGCCCGAGTCGTTTCTTGACGGTCCTGGGGCCCGGCGAGGACCCCGGCCGATAGAGGCCGATAACGGCCAGAGACGTCCCGTCCCGATTTTTGCACGAAGCGGGCATGTCTGGAAAGCTTCTCCCTCTGACCAAGGCTCGAGCTGAACGGTGTTTTGGCGATCTCGTGGACCGTTTTCGTTTAGATTCCGTTTTTGCAGCAGAGGTTCGGGTTGACCCAAAAGGGGGTCCAGCGACAAGGGGGTGGTGCAATAGGTTTGGTGCAATAGACTTGTGGGGGTGCAATACATTTCGGGCGTGCAATACATTCCGGGGCACAAATGTATTGCTTTATTTTCGCGTGCAATACATTAGTTGCAATACAATGCAATACAATTCTCCGGCGCAACACGTGTGCAATACAATTGCCCAAAATCCATTGCACCACCCCTTTACAGCTGGACCCCCTTTTGGGTCGCCCAGAGGTGGAACAATGACAGGGCGAGGGACGACGAAAACAAAACGAAAACGGAAAACACTGTTTCGGATGCAACTCCTGGGAGGTCAAGTTCAGATTTTGCCTTGGTCCGACAACGGGCCCACTCTGACTGAATCCCGCTCAATCTGGCTTAATCCCGCTTAGTCCGACTGAATCCCGCTTTCTCCGCGGCTCAATCCAGCGCAGCAGCCCCGCAGTGGGGTTCAATTCGGTAGCAAATCGTGGGCGCCTTGTATACCCTCGTAATTCCGTCTTTAGCGTCGTCGATTAGCGTCTAGAAGTCGATGAGCTAGCGCCGATGGAACGTCGGTGGGCGTCGATTTAGCGTCGACCAGCGTCGATTCGCAAGAGTCGACAAGATGATGTGGGAGGCTCCCGTGAGTTGCCACCGAAGGTGCTTGGGCACTTCCAGGGCCACGATCCCGCTCCCGCCCCCCCCCACCCTGGAGGGTTTCTCCGAAGGCTTAGGCGACCCGTCCTTCTCCTCCTCCTGCTCCTCCTCCTCCTCCTCCCTCCCCCTTTCTCCTCCTCCTCCTCCTCCTCCTCCTCCTCCTCCTCCTCCTCCTCCCCCTCCCCTCCTCCTCCTCCTCCTCTCCTCCTCTCCTCCTCTTCCTCCTCCCTTCCCCTCCTCCTCCTCCTCCTCCTCCTCCTCCTCCTCCCCTCCTCCTCCCCCTCCTCCTCCTCCTCCTCCTCCTCCTCCTCCTCCTCCTCCTCCTCCTCCTCCTCCTCCTCCTCGGGTCGCCTACGGCCCCGGGGGAAACCGTGCACCCCAACCCCCTGCGTGAATTCATTAGTTTATCTGGTGTGCTAGCATATCACGGGGGGGACTTCCGGTGGAATCCCCCCGACTCCAGAATTATTTTCTTTTTCGCGGCCAGCGATGACGCCGGGGGGGTCGTTGATGCGTGGTCAATGCTATGAAAATCACCTGGGCAAACAAATAAAGATCCCTCTTCGAACTCGACCTCCAGACCTATATTGGAGCGGGGTCCGACCATGCCTTTGTAGGCGGCTCCGACCATGCTTTTGCAGGCGGCTCTGACCGTAGTGACGATGCCCCATCCCCCGCCCCCAGAGGTTTAAAAAGTCAGTCCTCCCCGTACCCTCCCCATCCTCCCTGCCTCGTCGTCGTCGGCCTCCTCCTCCTCCTCCTTGGTCCCTTCAGACGTCCTGCTTTGGGCCAGAGGTCTCCCACCAGCGAGGTCGCAGTTTCTTCGATTTCGCCCCAGATGTCGAATGTGAAGATCCTCACGGATCTTCCCAGCCCGGACGCCTGGCGCCGCTCTGCAGGCACCAGTGCTTAGGATCGCAATCTTCCCGTTCCGTTCCTCCCCCTCCTCCTCAGCTCCCTCCCGCTGCTGCCGTTTCCGTGCTCAGACGCTGGTTGCTCACCGTTTTTCATTCACCGCTTGAATCGGCTTCCAGCGAGGGTTTTATCCCTCAAGGTCCGCCGATGCTGAGTCTCATTGTCATCATCATCATCATCATCATCATCATCATCATCATCATCATCATCATCATCACCATCATCATCACCATCATCATCGTCATCATCATCACCATCACCACCATCGCCGTCGTTGTCGATCACCATCACTGTCACCATTACCATCACCGTCACCGTCACCATCATCATAATCATCATCATCATCATCATCATCATCGTCATCATCATCATCATCGTCTTCACATCATCACCGCCATCACAACCATATCATCATCTTCGCATCATCACCGTCATCACAACCATCATATTATCATCATCGCCACCATCATTACCTTCAACACCATGATTATCACCATCACCATCGACACCATCATCATCACCATCAGCATCACACTCATGACCATTATCAGCGTCATTGTCGTTATCATCATCATCATCATCGTCGTCATCACCATCGCCATCACCATCATCATCATCATCATTGTCGTCGTTGTCGTCGTCGTCATCATCATCACCTCCATCATCACCATAATCATCACCATCAGCATCACCATCACCATCTTAGTCATTATCATCACCATCATCTCATCACGATCGTCACGATCATCACGATCATCATCATCGTCGTCGTCGTCGCCATCATCACCATTACCATCATCATAGCATCATCATCATGATCAGGATCCTCATCACTGTCGTCGTCGTTATCATCATCATTCTCACAACCGTCACCATCATCCTTATCCTTCAACTTATCACCATCACCATCATCACCATCACCACCACCACCACCACCATCATCATCATCATCATCATCATCATCATCATCATCATCATCATCTTCGTCGTCATCATTATCATCGCCGTCACCATCACCATCACCGTCACCACCATCATCATTATAACACCATCACCATCACCATCATCATAACCATCATCGTCATCACCATCATCACCATCATCACCATGACCACCATCATCATTGGCATCGTCGTCGTTGTCATCGTCATCACCATCACCATCACCATCATCAACACCATCAGCATCACCATCATCATCATCATCATCATCATCATCATCATCATCATCATCATCATCATCATCATCATCATCGTTATCATCGTCGCCGTCATCATCATCATCTTCACCGTCACCACAACCACCATCATCATCATGAGCACACCAACAGTATCACCATGATCATCACCATCATTATCATCACCATCATCACCACCATCATCATCGTCATCATCACCTCATCATCATCATCACCACCATCATCATCATCGTCGTCATCGTCATCATCATCATCATCATCATCATCATCATTTCGCTGAGGATCTTGGGTTGCCGTCGCCGCTCCGCCCCGAGGCCACGAGTTCGGCCTCCACGCGGACTCCGGCAGCCTCAGCGCGCGGGCGCCGGCCGGCAGCGCTCTGGCCGCGGGCACCGCCAAGGCGGCCCTGGGCGCCCCAGCCGTTGGCGGCTGCTGCCCTTCGCCGCCGCCACGGCGGCATTCCTGAGATCCCACGACGAAGAAACATCGGCACAAGCATGTTAGCCAGCGCGGGCCCCGAACAGTATGTTTCTTCTAGAAGTCTATGTTGTGCCATGTATTTTGTGCAATCTATGTGGTGCGATCTGTGTGGCGCAATAGATACGGTGCAACTCATGTGTTGCAATTGGTTTTTGTTCGCGGTGAGTTGTCAACTCCAATGCTCGCGCAATCTTCCCACCCACCCACCCGCAAATTGGTTTGCAAATCCCATGCGGCGTCGATTGCGATGATTGCTTGGCGCTGGCTGGTGCATCGCTGCGGTCGTGCCAACGCGCGCAGGCTCGCGCGCAGAGCGGCCAGCCAGTGTGGCGCGACCGCCGCGGTCGCGGTGGCGCTAACCGCTGGGGACTTGCCAGCGCGTCTCGCAGCGCTGACGTGAGGACACTTCGGTGCGAGTCGGTGATTCGGGCGGGCGCGGTATCATGGCGACGTCGACAACGGCAGATACGATGATGATAGTAACGATGCTGATGACGGTGATGACGATGACGACGGCAAGGCCAATGACGGTGCCGATGCTGATCGCACCGTTGGCGATGATGGTGTCCGCGTGTCGGTGATGAAGTTTTTGGAAGGAGTTCTAACATGCGCGCGCGACCGACGGGCGCGAGTGGCCCGCAATGTATCATTTGACCGGGATCGCGCCTCCCCTGCGCGTGCGCAAGGGCGTTCGAATGTCGATGCCAACGTAGCCGCCAGACCGGGAATCAGGGCCACTTCCCAGTAATATGTTGGCCAGCGCGTGCCCCAAACAATGCGTTTCTAGCCATAGATGGTGCGCAATCTACGTTGGGCAACCTACGATGTTCACCAGTTATGGTGCAGCCCATGTTGTGCATTCTTTCATGTGCGATCCATGCTGTGCAGTATATGTGGTGCGACACATGTCGTTTCTGCTATGTTGGGCAACCTAGGTGGTGCGCAGCTCATGCGGTGCAATTGACGTGGTGCAACCTATGATTTTCGATCTATGTTGTGCAGTCTTAGGTGGTGCAATCTATGCGGTGCAGTCTGTTGGTGCAACCTATGTGGCGCAATTTGTTTTTTACAGACGAGTCGACGCATTCCATGCTCTTGCGAACATCCCACCCACCCACCTGCAACTTGGTTTGCAATACCCATGTGGCGGCGATTGCGATGAGTGCTCGGCGTTGGCTGGTGCCTTCTGCGGCCGCGCCAGCCCAAGCACGCGCGCGTAGTGGCCAGCTAGTTTGGCGCGACCGACGCGGCCGCGGTGGCGCTGACCAACGGGCACATCCCAGCGGGCACTTCAGTGCGAGTCGGTGACTTGTGCGGGCGCGGTATCATGGCGACGTTGACAACGGTAGGCGCGATGCTGATAGTAGCGATGCTGGTGACGATGTTGACAACGAGGACGGCGCGGCCAGTGCGGGCGCCGATGCTGCTCCCGCCGACGACGATGACGGCGCCCTCGCGTCGGCGATGGAGGTTTTGGGAAGAGTTCGGCATGCGCGCGCGGCCGACGCGCGAGAATGGCACGCATGGTGTTATTTGACGCGGATCGCGCCCCCCCCCCGCCCTCCCAGCACGCGCGCGAGGGCGCGCGAGTGATTTCGGCATGCGGCGCTAGAGGGCCACTAATTCCATGAAGCTGGTGAATAACCAATAGCTTCCTCAAGGAATCGCAAGAGCGCGAGCAAGCTTTTCTAAACACTGACGTCGCGCAGCCACATGCCTTTACATGCTTTGTTTGTCGACATTCAGTTTTTGAAATCGTCACGACACCGAAGTTGTTTGACGGATTTCGGCACGCGCGCGCGACGACGCGGGCGCGTGAATTTCGTCAAACTTTTGGAAAGGATTCTCGCGACAGCGCGCGCAACGGCGTTGGGGCGATTCCGACACGCGCGCGCGAAGCCCTTGTGGTAGCGTTTTATGCTGCAAAATCGATGGTTTTCTTAAGAATTCGCAAAAGCGCGCAGGTTTTTTTCCCAACCATCCTGTGGTGTTGGGTCCTCGTTTTGAAGAGACGTCGCCCCGCGTTCCTTCCTTCCTTCCCGCTGCCCCCTCCCTCCTCCCATCTTCATCATCATCGTCATCATCCCCATCATCGTCATCGTCATCATCATCTGTCGTCATCATCATTATCACCACCCATGTCGGCACACCCCTCACACGTTTCGTGACCCCATAGGGAGCTCCACCGAAGGTCCCAGTGCGTGTGCCCGCATGCGTCCCGCACACTCATTTCGGCACACCCCTCACACGTTTCGTGGCCCCATAGGGAGCTCCACCGAAGGTCCCAGTGGGTGTGCCCGCATGCGTCCCGCACACCCATTTCGGCACACCCCTCATACGTTTCGTGGCCCCATAGGGGGCTCCACCGAAGGTCCCAGTGGGTGTGCCCGCATGCGTCCCGCACACCCATTTCGGCCACCCCTCACACGTTTCGTGGCCCCATAGGGAGCTCCACCGAAGGCCCCAGTGGGTGCCGTCCGCATGCGTCCCGCACACCCATTTCGGCACACCCCTCACACGTTTCGTGGCCCCAGGGAGCTCCACCGAAGGTCCCAGTGCTGCCGTCCGCATGCGTCCCGCACACACATTTCGGCACACCCCTCACACGTTTCGTGGCCCCATAGGGAGCTCCACCGAAGGTCCCAGTGGGTGTGCCCGCATGCGTCCCGCACACCCATTTCGGCACACCCTTCACACGTTTCGTGGCCCCATAGGGAACTCCACCGAAGGTCCAGTGGGTGTGCCCGCATGCGTCCCGCACACCCATTTCGGCACACCCCTCACACGTTTCGTGGCCCCATAGGGAGCTCCACCGAAGGTCTCAGTGGGTGTGCCCGCATGCGTCCCGCACACCCATTTCGGCCCACCCCTCACACGTTTCGTGGCCCCGAGCTCCACCGAACATGTGCGCATGCGTCACACGTCCCTCACACGTTTCGTGGCTCCATAGGGAGCTCCACCGAAGGTCCCAGTGGGTGTGCCCGCATGCGTCCCGCACACCCATTTTTTATTTACGGGCACACCTCACACGTTTCGTGGCCCCATAGGGGGCTCCCCGAAGGTCACAGTGGAGTCGCCCGCATTGCGTCCCGCACAACATGTCGGCACACCCCTCACACGTTTCGTGGCCCCATTGGGAGCTCCACCGAAGGTCTCAGTGGGTGTGCCCGCATGCGTCCCGCACACCCATTCCGGCACATCCCTCACACGTTTCGTGGCCCCATAGGGAGCTCCACCGAAGGTCCCCGTGGCGCAGTCCACATGCGTCTCCTTTGCCCAGTACAGCGTTACGTGGCCCATATGGAGCCCCACCGCAGGTCCCAGCCAGCCAGCTAGCTCTCTTTGCTCCGCGCAGCGGGCGACCCGCGCGCGTCGCTGGGACTCCTCCGGGGCGACCTGCGCGCGTCGCGGGGGCTCCGTGCTGCGTTCCGCCCAGCGCCTCGCTCGCACGTCGTCGCTCTGCCCAGCGGCAAGAGCCTTGCCCGCTATCAGCCAGCCAGCTAGCTCTCTTCGCTCCGCGCAGTGGACGACCCGCGCGCGTCGCTGGGACCCATCCGGGGTGACCTGCGCGCGTCGCGGGGGCTCCGCGCTGCGCTGCTCCCGCAGCCTTGGACTTTTGAGTGCGCGGGCAAAGAGGGAGTAAAGGAAGGGGAGGTAGCGGGCGCGATCCTCGCGGGGGGGCGCGCCGACATTGGCGTCGCGGCGCGCGGGCGATGCCGTCGGGGAGTCCCGGGGAAGCTCCTTGCGGCGGCCACGCCCAGCGTCACGAGTATTCAGAGGCAGTCGTTGTCAAACTATTGGCATTCATACACATTAGCACCACGCTTTGTCATATTCGCATTCATGCACGTAGACTCGCTCGCACGCAGATCATTCACAGTCAGACGCACGCGCGCAGATTCACCCGCGCTCAGTATCCCTACGTACTCAGATCAATCGTTTTCGTTCACTTTGTGTACCACGCCACTCATGTCGGCACGCCCCTAGCACGGTTCGTTGCCTCATAGGGATCGCCACCGAAAAAATGAATCACTATTGCGGTACTCGCACCTGCATATGGTTGGGTCCCTCGTCAGGCTAATTTTTGAACGTCCGCGTCGCGAAGCCACGTGCTTATATATATATATATATGTATATATAATATTGGAGAAAAACCCACATATATATATATATATATTAAATATTCCAATAGCTCCCTTTATAATCGGGCTATAGGGCGGGCTATAGGGTTATAGGGCTATAGGGCTATCGGGCTATCGGGCTATAGGGCTATAGGGTTATCGGGCTATAGGACTATCGGGCTACCGGGCTACAGGGCTCTACGGCTATAGGACTGTGACCTATAGGGCCATAGGGCTATAGGGCTATGGGGCTATAGAGCTATATGGGCTATGGGGCTGTAGGGCTATAGGGATATAAGGCTATTAGGGCTATAGGGATATAAGGCTATAGGGCTACAGGGCTATAGGGCTAGACGGCTATAGGGCTATAGGGCTGTTGGGCTACTGGGCTATTGGGCACCCCCGGGCACCCGGGCATCCCCGGGCACCCGGGCACCCGGGCCCGGCCACCGAAATCGGCCACGCACCTCACCGGCCAGCCAGGCACCCGGGCACCGCCGGGCACCCGGGCACCCGGGCACCCGGGCCCGGCCACCGAAATCGGCCGCACTCCTCACCTAATTCTTTAATTAGCTAGGACCCCTACAGAGGCAAGCTTTGATTGGTATATATATATATATATATATTATATATATCATATATATATATATATATATATATTATATATATATATATATTCGGGGCGCTCGATTTTGAAATCGTTGCGAAAACGAAGGTTTTCGAAGGACTTCGGCATGCGCGCGCGACGACGCGCGCGCATGCGGTTCGTTTCATTTCCGGCCATGGATTATTGAACATT